AGTTAAAGAAAAAAAGAGAAAAAAGGAATGTTAAGGATAGGACAAAGAGATAGAAAGAAGAAAAAAAGAAAATGAAAGAGAAAAGAGGAATGTTAAGGATAGGACAAAGAGATAGAAAGAAGAAAGTTAAAGAAAAATGAAAGAGAAAGAGGAATGTTAAGGATAGGACAAAGAGATAGAAAGAAGAAAAAATAAAGAAAATGAAAGAGAAAAGAGGAAATGTTAAGGATAGGACAAAATGAGATAGAAAAGAAGAAAGAAAAAATGAAAGAGAAAAAAGAAGTTAAACAAAAGAGATAAGAAGAAATGTTAAAGAAAGAAAAAAGAATGATAGATAGGACAAAAGAGAGGAAATAAAGAAAGAGATGAAAAGAAAAGTATAAGAAAAAAGAAAAAGAAATTTTTAAAGAAAATGAAAGAGAAAAGGGAATGTTAAGAAAGACAAAGAGATAGAAGAGAAAGTTAAAGAAAATGAAAAGAGAAAGAGGAATGTTAAGGATAGACAAAGAGATAGAAAGAAAAAAGAAAGAAAATGAAAAAAAAAGAAATGCTAAGGATAGGACAAAGAGAAGAAAGAAAAGAAAGAAGAAAATGAAAGAGAAAAAGGAATGTTAAGTATAGGACAAAGAGATAGAAAGAAGAAAGAAAGAAAATGAAAGAGAAAAGAGGAATGTTAAGGATAGGACAAAGAGATAGAAAGAAGAAAAGTTAAAGAAAATGAAAGAGAAAAGAGGAATGTTAAGGATAGGACAAAAGAGATAGAAAAGAAAACGAAAGTTAAAAGAAAATGAAAGAGAAAAGAGAAATGTTAAAATAAAACGATAGGACAAAGAGATAGGAAGAAGAAAGAAAAATAGAAAAGAACAAAGAATGAAAGACAAAGATAAAGAAGGAGAAAGTTAAGGATAGACAAAAGGATAAAATAACAGAAAGAAAAAAGAATGAAGTATAAGACAAATAGAGGAAGAAAAAAATGAAAGAAAAATGAAAGAAAAAGAGGAATGTTAAGGATAGGGACAAAGAGATAGAAAGAAGAAAGAAAGAAAATGAAAGAGAAAAGAGGAATGTTAAAGGATAGGACAAAGAGATAGAAAGAAGAAAGTTAAAGAAAATGAAAGAGAAAAGAGGAATGTTAAGGATAGGACAAAGAGATAGGAAGAAGAAAGTTAAAGAAATGAAAGAAAAAGAGGAATGTTAAGGATAGGACAAAAGATAGAAAGAAGAAAAAAAGAAAAAAAAAATGAAAGAGAAAAGAGGAATGTTAAGGATAGGGGAAAGAGATAGAAAAAGAAGAAAGAAAGAAAATGAAAGAGAAAAGAGGAATGTTAAAGAAATAGGACAAAAAGATAGGAAAGAAGAAAGAAAAGAAAAATGAAAGAGAAAGAGGAATGTTAAGATAGGACAAAAAGATAGGAAGAAGAAAGTTAAAGAAATGAAAAAAAAAGAGGAATGAATAGACAAAGAGATAGAAAGAAGAAAGTTAAAAGAAAATGAAAGAGAAAAGAGGAAATGTTAAGGATAGGACAAAGAGATAGAAAGAAGAAAGAAAAACGAAAGAGAAAAGAGGAATGTTAAAGATAGACAAAGAGATAGAAAGAAGAAAGTTAAGAAAAACGAAAGAGAAAAGAGGAATGTTAAGGATAGGACAAAGAGATAGAAAGAAGAAAGTTAAAGAAAATGAAAGAGAAAAGAGGAATGTTAAGGATAGGACAAAAGAGACAGAAAGAAGAAAGTTAAAGAAAATGAAAGAGAAAAGAGGAAATGTTAAGGATAGGACAAAGAGATAGAAAGAAGAAAGTTGAAGTAAATGAAAGAGAAAAGAGGAATGTTAAGGATAGGACAAAGAGATAAAAAGAAGAAAGTTAAAGAAAATGAAAGAGAAAAGTGGAATGTTAAGGATAGGACAAAGAGATAGAAAGTAGAATGTTAAAAAAACGAAAGAGAAAAAGAATGTTAAGGATAGGACAAAGAGATAGGAAGAAGAAAGTTAAATAAAAGAAAAGAGAAAAAAGAATGTTAAGTATAGGACAAAGAGATAAGAAGAAGGAAGTTAAAGAAAATGAAAGAAAAATGCTAAGGATAGGACAAAAGTGATATGAAATAACAGAAAGAGAGAAAAGAAGAAAGACAAATAGAGGAAGAAGAAAATTTAAAGAAAATGAAAGAGAAAAGAGGAATGTTAAGGATAGGACAAAGAGATAGAAAAAGAAAGTTAAAGAAAATGAAAGAGAAAAGAGGAATGTTAAGGATAGACAAAGAGATAGAAAGAAGAAAGTTAAAGAAAATGAAAGAGAAAAGAGGAATGTTAAGGATAGGACAAAGAGATAGAAAGAAGAAAGTTAAAGAAAATGAAAGAGAAAAGAGGAATGTTAAGGATAGGACAAAGAGATAGAAAAAGAAAAAGTTAAAGAAAATGAAAGAGAAAAGAGGAATGTTAAGATAGGGACAAAGAGATAGAAAGAAGAAAGTTAAAAAAAATGAAAGAGAAAAGAGGAATGTTAAGGATAGGACAAAAGAGAGAAAGAAGAAAGCAAAGAAAACGAAAGAGAAAAGAATGTTAAGGATAGGACAAAGAGATAGGAAGAAGAAATAAAAGAAAGAAAGAAAAAAAGAATATTAAGTATAAGACAAAGAGATAAGAAGAAGGAAGAAAGAAAATGAAAGTGGAATGCTAAGGATAGGACAAAAGTGAAAAAGAGAAAAAAGAATGCTAAGGATAAGACAAAGAGAGAAAGAAGAAAGTTAAAGAAAATGAAAGAGAAAAAGAGGAATGTTAAGGATAGGACAAAGAGATAGAAAGAAGAAAGAAAGAAAATGAAAGAGAAAAGAGGAATGTTAAGGATAGGACAAAGAGATAGGAAGAAGAAAGTTAAAGAAAATGAAAGAGAAAAGAGGAATGTTAAGGATAGGACAAAGAGAGGAAGAAGAAAGTTAAAGAAAATGAAAGAGAAAAAATGTTAAGGATAGGACAAAGAGATAGAAAGAAGAAAGTTAAAGAAAATGAAAGAGAAAAGAGGAATGTTAAGGATAGGACAAAGAGATAGAAAGAAGAAAGAAAGAAAATGAAAGAGAAAAGAGGAATGTTAAGATAGGATAAAGAGACAAAAGAAGAAAGGAAGAAGAAAGTTAAAGAAATGAAAGAGAAAGAGGAATGTTAAAGAAAAATAAAGAGAAAAGAGAATGTTAGAAGAAGAAAGAGATAAAGAAAAAGAAAAGAAAAAGAGGAAATGTTATGATAGGACAAAGAGAGGAAAAAGAAAGTTAAAGAAAAAGAAAGAGAAAAAATGCTAAGGATAGGAAGCGGAAAGTTAAAGTAAAAGGAAGAGAAAAAAGAATATTTAATATATGACAACGAGATAGCAAGAAGAATGCTAAGCACAAGCCAAGACATGGCCATCTAGTATTATATGGCCCACAAGTCACATAAGAAACTGAATTCTAACAGGATGATGTAATGTAAACAAAATATAAAATAATTGGCCGTTTAGAAAATTGCTAATCTAACTTTAAAAATCGAATTCTTAGAACGTAAGGTAACAACGTAAAATTACGTAGAATTTATCAGACGTAATTTCAATTCCCCACACATGTTTTCAACACTAAAATGCATATTTGAACGTTTTTTTATTTTATTATTTTTTTTTATACTAATCTACGTTTTATAAACGACTGTGGGTTACCTCACTTTTACGACTTTCAGTTGCGTGTACGGCCTGTTTTGCAAATGAACGCTATTCGTTCAATTTTCTACCTCATAATTCATTGCATTTAAAGATTGAATTATAATATTTGTTGTGATGTTTTGTTTTACAAAAATGTTTAACAAATATGTTGCATTTGGCTGTTCTAGTGGATATGTTATTAACAATGAAAAAGTATAGACATTTACTTATGCTCTTGAAAAATCCGATCTCGTAGAAAAATGGATAAAATTCGTTAATCGTATTGATTGGTTTCCCACGAAAAATTCAGTTGTCTATATGAAACATTTTCAAAGGAAAACGAAACAAGCTGAATTGGGATTTACATCCAATACCTACCATACATTCCGAAAAAGAATTAAGGAAACCGAAAACATGGGAAATCAGATAGCCTCCAAACTGATGAACTGCATGATTTTATTTCAGCTGCTACAATAACGGATTTCACTCCATTGGATGAAGCAAAGCGTTGTACTAACGGCTGAATTAAAAAAAAAGGAAGATTATATTCTAATTTATAGAATAGTCTTTGACCATGAAACATTTTCATCTATAAAAGAATGTATTTGCATTGATCAAAACCGTCACATCCATCTCCAGTGCTATGGAACACTTATACCTTTAACACAGTAATTAAAACATGGACATCATGCTAAAATCACAAGATTTAATATGTTAGAATAATTTCCAAACTACATACAAAACGTGGTGGAGGAACAACTTTTCTCAATTCTAATAAAATTACAAAAAAAGTCAACATTACCAACCAAGAAGCAGAATTAATACGTTTTGATTTACTACTACGTTATACGCCTCAAGAAGATTAACAATCGCTTCTAGAGAAATTTCCATTATTATCTTTTTTTTATTAGAGAGAACTCAACTAAATTTAGAAGAGGCAGAAGATATTTCTGGGACGCGTAAGGGGAAAGGAGGGCCTGGAGAATCTGATACCCACGGGTCGAATAGAGGGAAAGAGAGATAAAGGAACACGGCGCATGACATCGATGCAGTGGAAACACCTCTTGTTATATTGTAAGAATTTTTAAACCTTAGCACTTCTCCTTCAGGGAACAAGTATAACCGACATTTAGCTTTGTATCTCCCCTTCCATCTTAATAGATAGATAGATAGATAGATAGATAGATATGAAGAAACTAAAATAGATAGATAGATAGATAGATAGATAGATAGATAGATAGATATGAAGAAACTAAAATAGATAGATAGATAGATAGATACGTATGAACGTAGGTATTTGTGCTGCAAAGTTCACAGGTTTTATCTTAAGCCTTCTGTTTAGTTTGGATAGATAGATAGATAGATAGATAGATAGATAGATAGATAGATAGATAGATAGATATGGCCATGATGAGATAGATAGATATGGTCATGGTAAGATAGATAGATATGAAGAAACTGAAATAGATAGGTAGATAGATAGATAGATAGAAACTAAAATGGCTAGATAAATAGGTAGATATATATGAACAAACTGAGATAGATAGATAGATAGAGATAGATAGATAGATAGATATGAAAAAATTGAAATAGATAGATAGATAGATAGATCAGTAGAAACGTAGGTGTTTGTGCTGCAAAGCTCACAGGTTTTAATTTAGACTTAAGTCTTCTGATTATTTTGGTAGACTTTATTAAACAATCTGCTCTTGCTGCTTTGTTTCTTTTCTTCGTAGGCACAGCCAAACTGACGTCATTCCCCGCCTCTCTCTCTGTCTCTATCTGTCGTCCCCAAAAAGCTTCTAGACTGATTCTGATGGTCTTCTGCCCTGTTAATTCGTTTCCCGTCCTAAAGCATACACGCCAATTTCCATACGGAGTGCTTCCATCTCGACCCAATTTTACGCCTTCATTATTTTACCTATTTATATTTCTAAATCCCAGATTTTGGTACTGTTCCCGGCATCGGGAAGAAGGGGCAAGCATAAACTACAAGAAAACAGAATGCATGCTTATCAGTAAATTGATTGGTGGTCGGGAAACACGAGTATCAAGCAGACTCGGAAATTTAAATATCTGGGAAGTGTTCAGACAGAGGACGGTAAATGCGACACTGAGATCTGTAGACGTATGTGGATGGCCAAGGATGTATTTTAAAAGCGAGATATTCCAAGTCCTTTTCTTTACGGCAGTGAATGTTATGACGTCGATTTCAAAGATGAAGAAGAGACTGAGTCGACGGAGATGTGCTTCTACAGAAGGATGTTAAGGATATTATGGACCGAGTGTATGAGCAACGATAAGGTCTTGGAGAGGATGCAAACAAAGAGGAAGCTTATACTTAACATAGGGAAATTTCTGGGACACGTAATGAGAAAGGAGGGCTTGGAGAATCTGATACTCACAGGTCGAATAGAAGGAAAGACAGACAAGGGAAAGCAATGCATGACATTCCTGGCGGGATTAAGCAAATGGAGGACAGGACGTGGTCTGGGGAAGATGGAAGACACACGAAACCTATTGAGAGCCACAAGGGATAGGAGGAAGTGGAGAGCCATGATCGCCTACGTTCTAAAATATAAAATGAAAGAAGAAGCGGTGATACAAAGGGGCATAAATATAATGCTAGGGATTAAACAATGAAATAGAAGAAACTTACAAACATCAACGGAAAGAAGACAGGATGAAAAGTCAAAGTGAAAAGTGAATATTAAGAATCAGAGGGAAAGAAGAATGCTAAGGATCAGGAAAACCGCTAGAAAGAAGAATGCTAAGGATCGTACAAACAGATAGAAAGAAGAATGCTAAGGATAAAGAAAACCGCCAAAAGAAGAATGCTAAGGATCAATCAAAGAAAAGAAAAAAAAAATGCTGAGGATAAAGCAAACCGATAGAAAGAAGAATGCTAAGGATCAGACAAAGAGATAGAAAGAAGAATGCAAGGATTACAAAAACTGCTAGAAAGAAGAATGCTAGGATCAGAAAAGAGATAGAAAGAAAAATGCTAAGGATAAAGGCAAAACCGATAGAAAGAAGAATGCTAATGGTGACAAAGAGATAGAAAGAAGAATGCTAAGGATAAAGCAAACCGCTAGAAACAAGAATGCTAAGGATCAAACAAAGAGATAGAAAGAAAAATGCTAAGGATAAAGCAAACCGCTAAAAAGAAGAATGCTAAGGATCAGACAAAGAGATAGAAAGAAAAATGCTGAGGATAAAGCAAACCGATAGAAAGAAGAATGCTAAGGATCAGACAAAGAGATAGAAAGAAAAATGCTAAGGATAAAGCAAACCGCTAGAAACAAGAATGCTAATGGTGACACAAAGAGATAGAAAGAAGAATGCTAAGGATAAAGCAAACCGCTAGAAAGAAGAATGCTAAGGATAAAGCAAACCGCTAGAAACAAGAATGCTAATGGTGACACAAAGAGATAGAAAGAAGAATGCTAAGGATAAAGCAAACCGCTAGAAACAAGAATGCTAAGGATCAGACAAAGAGATAGAAAGAAAAATGCTGAGGATAAAGCAAACCGATAGAAAGAAGAATGCTAAGGATCAGACAAAGAGATAGAAAGAAGAATGCTAAGGATTAAGCAAAACTGCTAGAAACAAGAATGCTAAGGATCAAACAAGAGATAGAAAGAAAATGCTAAGGATAAAGCAAAACTGTTAAAAAAAGAAGAATGCTAAGGATCAGACAAAGAGATAGAAAAGAAAATGCTGAGGATAAAGCAAACGATAGAAAAGAAGAATGCTAAGGATCAGACAAAAGAGAGAAAGAAGAATGCTAAGATTGCTAAAACTGCTAGAAAGAAGAATGCTAAGGATCAGACAAAGAGATAGAAAGAAAAATGCTAAGGATAAAGCAAACCGCTAGAAACAAGAATGCTAATGGTGACACAAAGAGATAGAAAGAAGAATGCTAAGGATAAAGCAAACCGCTAGAAAGAAGAATGCTAAGGATAAAGCAAACCGCTAGAAAGAAGAATGCTAAGGATCAGACAAAGAGATAGAAAGAAAAATGCTAAGGATAAAGGAAACATATAGGAAGAAGAATGCTAAGAATCCGACAAATAGAGATAAAGAAGAATGCTAAGGATAAAGGAAACAGATAGAAATAAGAATGCTAGAGAGATCAGACAAAGGAATAATAGCGGAATGACTCGGAAAGTGGATAGAAAGAAGAATGATAGGAGTGAGACAAAACGATAGAAAGAAAGAAGCTAATGATAAGACAAAGCGGTTGAAAGAAAGAAACTAAGGATAAGGCGACAAAGCAATTGAATGATAAATGCTAATTACAAGAGAAAGAAATAGAAAGAATAATGCGAATGATATAATAAAGAGAGTGAAAGCAGAATGCTAAGGATAAAATCAAGCGACAGAAAGAAGAATACAATGGATAATACAAATCGACAGAAAAAACATGCTAATGATAAGACAAGGAAACAAAAAAGAAGGCTAGGAATGAGACAAAGCGTTAGAAAGAAGAATGCTTGTGTTATGTGAAGCACATAGAAGGATGAATGTTAGGGATGGCACAAGGAGATAGAAAGAAGAAATCGAATACAAAGACATAAAACGATTATTGTTAGGGCAAAGATAGAGATGCAAGAATGCAAAGGATAAGACAATGAGATAGAAGGATGTTAGCGATGAGACATAGTGATATGAGCGAGAATGCTAAGGATAAGACAAATAAATAAAAGAATGCTAAGGATGAAACAACGAGATAGTAAGAAGAATGCTACGAATAAGACGAAGATATCGCAAGAATTCAAAGATCAGATAAAAACATAGAAAGATGTATTTAAGGGGCAAGACGAAAGAGTATATATATATATATATATATATAAAGGTGACCTGACGATTGACAATCAAAGATGAAAATAGCCTGAAAAATCTCATATGCCAAAAATAAATACATTCAAAATTTAAATATATATATATATATTATTTATATATATATATGAATATTAAAATAGTTGAATAATTATTGGATAATTTTATCATTGTATTATTTCTGCATTATATCAAATTAAGAATATAGTAAACAGGGTTTGCAAATTGAGGCTCTGAGAGTTGGTTATCAATGTTCACTTATATATATATATATATATATATATATATATATATATATATATATTTTATATTTTTTGCCTACTAAATACATTTTTATCTCACTTTTAGTATATTTATCAGATTTAAAAACGAGCCTAAGGTAAAAGGTTTGGGGAACCACTTATCTAAGAGATTGAATCTCACCGTGTGCAATATTATATATCACCATTGAGTACAACTCCCTTATTTATGTTTGATGGACTTCATCTTAATATAAAGAACGGGAGATTCCATCAATCAAAATCATTGTTTTTCACTGTGTGTGTTGCTCGACGAAATTAACTGGAGGCTTAATTTATTTTTCCTCTCCTAAGTTCTCCAACGCCTTAACAGGAGAACTTTCAGAGGGAAAAATTAGCAGGAGATAACTGATAACCGATATCCATCAAAACATGGCACGTGGAATTAGAACAGACCTTTCCAGTGACCGAAATAAAGGGTTCAGTTCAAAACTACAACCAATTACTTAGGCCGGGAGAGTCTATTATCAAAAAACGTTGGGACAATAGGCATAAAGATGTGGTAATAGTCCATAATTTTAATTGAACCTAATACCTCATCTCAGAAATATAGACAAACTCATTAATGATCATATATTTACGGAGTTTTAATAACAAACAGCAAAATGCTGAAGCACAAAATACTACGTAATCGGCTGAACCAAAGACGCACTCGTAAGTCCGAAAAAAAAAAAACCTGCCTGTATAATAAAATTTGGTATTAATTAACTTAAAATTTAAACAGACATAATAACAATAATCCCGCCAAAACACAGCCATAACATTGAGCAGAGAATGGCAGACGATAAATAAGCACGTTAATCAAATCTTGGCAAACCACAATAACATGTTGACAGCGCCATGATTGTTTGTTACTATTCTGCTATAAAAATCGCCCGCCGGAAACAGAACAGCTGATTAAGCGCATGCGTCGCAGCAGTAGGTGGCAGACTGACGATGAAGGCCAAATGAGAGTCGTTCAACCATTTTTAACACCTGCTATGTTGTTTATTGTCTTGGATTTGTGGAGATCTTGAAACGAGGAAAGAAAACAACAATTAAGGTTTCAAAAGCCTAGGGCATTTTACTAGGCGTTTGATATCTATTCTGCTTACACTTCAATCTGAACGCCTACCTGCAGTTTAGAGCGCAAGTATTAATTGACATATAATCTATCGGTGGTTAAGACACACATTTCCCGCCGGTTTTCGCGGCTGATATGCAACCTTTCAGACAGCTGCCACAAGGAAGAGAGACACGAGGAAATCAATTCACCCACAATTCTAGGTATGCTCAACCGAAACAACTTGTCGTGTTCGCGATGTCACGCATACTAGAAGTGAAATTGGTTAATATATTGAGTTCGATCTTTATTCGGTTTTGTGGGTCTGTATTTAGCTCAGCTAATTTCCAAAGCCAACCTAGTGACCGAATTAATTATGCATTTCTAACTTAATACCCCTCCCGCTTCTCTTGGACAAGAGTAGAGGCTTACACCTTGTTTCTTGTTTAGGAAGGGTTTCTCGGAACTCGCCCTCTCTTTCTCTCTGGCCTCTGTATTAGTGATGCCGTGTTTTTCCTGTGATGTGCAGTCTGTGGCAACGCCTATTCATTCTGA